GGTGTTTTTCTACAATTCTAGCTGGGTAATCTCTATTCTGCAGGCGTGTTTTGAAATTACTCATGTTTTCCGCAAAAGTAAATTGAGAGGAATTTGTTCTCAGAAACTTTAACGCTTCTCCTTTTATAAAGCCTTTCGTGACGCCTGGTGGGTGACACGAATAGTAGCTTTGAAATGCGTTCGCACGTCAAGAATAGATTCCTTATTGAATCTGTTACCTTTGTACACTTTCGTGTCTAAGAATGTGGTTTCTGTTTCTGAGATTACAGCCGTGAATTTGATCGTTGGGTGAAAACTGTTTGCCTTTACATTGAAATCCTCTATTTTGTCTCTGCTTGTGTTCCACATAGATATGACGTCATCTATGAATCTTTTCCAAAAAATTGGTTTTGTGGTGCTTTGTCTGACTATTTCTTTTTCTATTTTGGCCATAAACGTGTTAGCAAAAGCTAAGGCCATTTTCGTCCCCATGGCTGTTCCATGAGTTTGGAGGTAATCTTTTCCATTGAATTAGAACGAGTTTTGTTGTAGAATCAGACTTAGCATTTCTCTTAAATACCTGGTAGTAGACTTGCTCACAAGCCGAGCTTTTGAGCGCGTAGCGCGAGCCAGCGAAAATATATGTTCAATACTCGATGGAAAGAAAGTCGACTAAACGGCGTTTAAACCGGCCGTAGGACACAGAGTGGCTATGAACTAAAGGTACTAAAGGGAGCTTTTTGAATCAATATTTCGCGTGATCATGATTTCTTTTTCTTAGCATTGTAGATTCGAATACATGTGATAAAATTCGAATAACAAGGGACCGAATCACATGTAATAATGCAAGAAATATCGACTATTTGGCATCAGATAATACACTAATAATTCTAGGTATATTCCGACCAAATGACCTCTGAAGCCCGAACCCACACATAGTGCGCTTGGGCTGCCTATTGTTACCCACTAAGCTGGCGATTGAATTAAAAAAGTACTAAATTCCTCTATAAGGCTGTTGAGTCGATCAGAAACACTGTTGAATTTCACTGATCCAGTTGCTCGTAATGTTTTCCTACCCAACAGTTTCAATTTTAATAGTGAATTCGGGTGATTCTCTTATCGCTTTTAACACAGTAGCACGAGGTAGCTCACTTAATATTCACTTAAGATTCACTCGCAAGAGTTCGCTTGTAAATAGGTCTCTCGTATAGTTCATAAACTATACCACTTCCAAAATGTACTCTTGCCATCTTTTACTATGGGCTTACCATCAACAGCGTTTACATTCGTAGTTTTGGCTAGCCTGCGTAACAGGCGCTTGGAAGTAGTGGGCAAAAGAGAGAACGGGCGCGCGCGAGGGAGACACGCGAGGGGTGAGGGAGCTCCTTCTCCCCTCGCGTGTCTCCTTCTCGCTCGCTCATTCTCTCTTGCTTGTGCCCACTACTTCCAAGCGCCGGCTGCTACGCAGGCTGCGTTTTGGCATTCTAATGCTTCTACCGAAGATAGATCTGATCAGGAGCCCATCAAATGGCTCTCCTGATCTGATAGATTGCTCATAGCTTCGAGTCGCTTCGAGCTCCTTAGAATGTACTCTGCTGAAGTCCGCTGACCTATTCTACGCATACTCTTATGTCTTGCGCACGCGCTGAACATACCAGGGTGCGATTTGTGCCAGAAGGAAAAATTGAGCCGGCGAGCCTATTTTATAACTGGGCTGTGCCACAGGCAGCCCAGTTAAAAGTATTTAAAGCACCAAAATTGAGCCTTTCACATTTCATAAGCTTAGAACTACAATAATTTTTGCAATTTCCGTTAGATCAGATTAGTCACTGTGGTAATCTCGTACCCAGATCTCCCGCGTTCAGCCTAAGATAGAGTGAGATCTGGGTACGGGATTATCACATTGGCTGGAACTGTTGAAACTTTGAGGCCAAGGGGCCGACGGGGTCCGAGTAGGAGTGGACCCTGGGAACGAGGTTTCATCTTAACTATTTGTATAGACTCTCTATACAGAAGGTTTAGAGTGTCTGTGACGCAAGCTAGCAACTCTCTTCCCCACGTGGGGAGGAGCGTTGCGTGACGACCCTAATAACGGCTGCGAAGCGGACTAAAATTAACGTGGAAAGCCAGAGGTGGGTTTTTGTATGAACGCCTGGCCCTGCCTTTGGGAATTTGCAGCTTTTCCCAAACAAAATGACAAATGCCCGACAAAAACCCGGGGGGCGATGGGCGCACTTGGAATTGACTGAGCCATTAGCGTCGCGCACGGCGATAGGGCTGCTTCCTCCACAGGCTTTACCAACTCGCAAGCACGCGAGACAAGCGAGAAGCGCGAGAGAGGTATGATGGGAACGAGCGTAGAGCGCGACCACCCCTTGGTCCCTGCTTTCCTTAATAATTAATTCAAACATCCCCCAGTGATCGCGAGTTACTGGGGACGAGGTAGGCGATAGGATAAGATGAGATAACTTTATTACATCTCTTCAGGATATCTCTATTTACAAAAATCTATTTACGAAATAATTATGAACATGTGATAAAAATTAAAAATGTATTATCATAAGAGTTCTAAAATTAGAAAGATAATAAAAGCAGAGAACGACAAAATTAATTATTAAAACAAGATATTTTGCCGCATGGCAACATCGCGAGTGGCTAGTGAAAAGTTGACATGTCCACTTTTATCGCTTATTCTATTAAAGATTTCTTCCGATAATTTCCAGAATCCATTGAGTAGGCGAAACTTAATTAAAGGCGTTGATACTTGGTGAATTTCCCACGCATAGTGGCAGCTGGTTCCAATATTTGATAAGTCTTTTGTTAAAGAGGTCATGCGCTGATCTTAATGGATGATGAGAAGTGATATTAAGATTACGAGTTCGATAAGATGTATTCGTCCCAAACATATTGTGACCATAGTTCGCAACACCGTTGATTATTTTGAAAGTCTCTAATAAGTCACCACGCATTTGATGGTCCAGTAAAGTCGTTAATCTGAGTCGCTGTAACCTTTGATGATAAGAGAGTAGACCCATGCCCTCAATTATCCTGGTGACTGTCTTTGGCAGTCCTCAATTTCCATTATAATACCCCAGTCAGGGATCCACACCTGCACTGCGGCGATCACTGAGGGGATCCGTGATTTCGACTACTGTATTATGCTGACGATGACCCTCATGCTAAGTGATTGTGAATTTACGTGAGAATCAGGTCAGTTTCTGGGGGAAGAGAAGAGTAAAGCGAAAAGGGGAGACAGCCGATCCTCTGATCCCATTCCACACTCAGGTAACGTGTGTAGCAAGCTTTTCCGTTTCGGAGCAAAGAAAGAACGAGGAACGAGAGTCAAAGACCGTCCAAAAAAAGGCACGAGTACAAATAAAAACAACAAAAGTTTTATTTGCATAACCATGACTAATTATTGTAAAACATTTTGAAACATTATGTATCAGTCAAATCGAAGCTTCAACATGCCCCCCCCGGGCAACCCCGTGGGCATTTGACTTTTTTGAAAATTATTGTTCAAATTCACCCCTACCCGGGCCAAAATGCCGTTCAAATGCCCCACACTGGGGTCCATTCAGGTGATCAAATGCCCCCACCCCGGGGACATTTCACAGGCACAAAAATGACAGAAGGACGGCGGAAACGCCTTCAGTTGTCGAACAAAATCTTTATAAATATAGCAAAAACTGAGAAACACTGTTAGTGTATTTACTACGAACAAAAGTTTCGTGCAAAGCGGCGGAAATTGCTGCTACAAGGTCACTGAATGCTCAGCTTTTCTTTCTCATGCAACATACAAAGCGTTCTATAAAAAAGATCCCACCTATTGAGATTACTACATCATAACCATTTCACTAACATGCATCATCGCTCACCTTATTAATCAACATACTTGCAGTAGGTCAGTAAGTAGTTTACCTGAGCTTTTTATTTTATTTTATTTTTATTGTTGTTTTGAATCGCTGCTATAGGTATTGTATTTCATTGTAAACACAACAGTAAAATACATTCATACATTCAAAGCCTGAATCCAATATTAAACATTTTAAATTTAAATACTTCAGATATGCTACAAAGCTTGTTTAAGTCCTTTCCTCGTCACCAATTGGCCACAGAGGCACAATCTTTCCCACGAAAATCCACTAACACCGCGTCCCCCATAGCTCACCACACCAAAGATTTTACATGAAATCGAGGGTGCAGTTCAAATTCCCTACCCCTAAAGCATGGGGATCAAATTACCCACCCCCTGGAAGACTCTGATAATCAAATTCCCTCCTCCCCGGGACGGCAAAGGTGTCAAATGCCCGGGGTATGCCCGGGGGGGCATGCTGAAGCTTCGATTTGACCGATACATTACAGATCTCATTCATTCATTCAAACATTGACAGTTACGTATTTATAATAAATAATTAGAAGAATTCATAAGATGAGCTATTAAAGTATCGTGTGAAAGTGATTTGAGGTTAGGTATTTTAAGTTCTATTTTGGAGAAAAATACGTCTCTAATCTTAGAACAGGCCTTACGATCTAGTAAGAAATGATTTTCATCTTTAATTTTGTTACTGTTACAAATGGAACATATACTTTCATTGTGTGGGATTTTTTCGTATCTACCTGTTTCAATTCAAAGTTGATGACTACTTAATCTAATTTTAACTAATGCTTTTCTTGAGGGGTTTTTTTCTTGTTAAAACCAGGTACGGCGAGGGCTATAGTCCTTTTTGATTGTACAATAAAAACTGAGATTTTTAGCCCAGATAGTGTCGGAGTTCGCTTTGAATTTACAAGAGAATGCATAAACAAAATACGTCCTAAACTCCATTTTTTGCCAAAAATAGAAATAAAAATGACTCACCTTGTGGTTTTATTTTGTTATTTACTGTCTCTTTGCTTCTAGAGCCACTTGGAAGCCGTTTGATCGACGTTTAAGATTTCCAGTTTGAGACCAAATCTCCCATACCCTCCCCCGCCTCTATCCTGTGAATTTGTCACGTGACACCGATCATGTGAAAGCA